CTGTGTGCTTGTACTTACCACTGATTAATGCAATACAAGTAGCCTTTTGCTAATTCGTGTGCCTTCTTGTTGCCTTTGTGTGTGTGTTTGCTTTGTTTCGTAGGCTTACTCGCCCATTTCGAGTGCCGCACGGGGCCCCAACGATTACCCCCGTGACATAAGGGCACATGCCATGCCAGTGTGCAAGTAAAGAACTAAAGATAAAAGGTTAAAAAATGAAAAGGCATTTAGGTTTTGAGTTTTTCTTTTACTATACTTCTTTAAATGTCTCAACTTAATGATTAGATTTAAAGGTTACAATATTTGGACAACTACCCTTTGCAAGAATTAACATTATACAATACTATTAAAATATTCTGATTAAACTTTTATGTCCTGGATGTGAAGCCAAGGCAAGTATTAGCATTATATAATGACAGATAAAAGAAAAGACATACAGAAATCATGGAAGAAAAGCATACCAGTTTGTGAGAGTTGAAGTTTCATCTTGGCTTTAACTCTTTCAGCTGGAGTCTGCAAACAGTGTCATGTTTTACAATCAAAGACAACAAAAGTAATGTTGGCAGAAAATGGCAATAGAATCAAAATGAAAGAATAAACAAATAAAATAAAATACCAAAAAGAGAAAATAGTTTTATTGCTGCATAAAAATAATCAGTGCAGGATTATGTGATTTAACATCACAATGCCAAGGAATACGGTTCTCTCCAACTAAAAGTCTCCAATAAACGATGAAGCAGATCTAACAGCCTTAGCAACAATATCCATAAAATTTCTGCAACTTTTCAGTTTAATATCCCAGTTCCCTCCATCCAGCATGTTATACACTTAAATGTCCCAAATCTTTTCAATGAGTCGAATACAAACGAGGAAAAAAGGACCTTGCTCCAGCGTATAAAATTAATCACTTTTTAAGTTTGACTTCCACATTAGCAATACTAAATCAGAATTCCCTACTTAAATCACCAAGTTGTCTTGTAAATGGAGCACTTGCACTTAAACCATTATAATTGCACTTTAGTTAAGCTCTCAGATCACCAACCTATCTCCCATAATAACCCCAAAGTAGCATATAGTCCCTCAATGAGCCATTTCACTGGATGTCTTAAGGTATCTTACATTTTGAGTAAAACAAATACGGTGGAACAGAAAGAGGATCTATGTTTCACGAATATCGGTAATTGTGGGTACTGAGTGCAAAATATAAAAAATGAACATGCATATTCTGCAATTGGTATACTAACCATATCTGCATAACCCTCAACGAGTCTTGAGTAGTCGATTCCACCATTTTTGTCCTTCTCGCTCTTACCCTCTCCTTTATCTTTGTAGCTGTGGCCTCTACTCTTTTCCGACCTTCGGTCCCGAGGGGATGAACTCCTGCTTCTTCCTCTACTTCTTCTTTCTCGAGAACTCCTTCGGTGCCTGCCTTCATCATGATAACTTGGAGACCTGCTCCTCCTCCTCTCGCCCCTTCTTTCTCTATCTTTGTCCCTGCTGGATGAACGATGTCGACGCCTCGACTCGTGCCTATCTCTACTTCTACTTCTTCTCCTCGACGATTTATCTCTCTCTCTACTAGAAGAACGACACCTACTGGCTCTCGAATCGTGCCCTGCATCATACTTGCTTCCATCTCTGCCTCGATTATCAGAATCCCTGGATTGATTTCCAGAGCTTGGTTTCTTCTTTAGTTTATTTTGAATGCTTTCGAGCTGTGCTTGTCTTTGGAGCTCTGCAGCTTTACCGGGACTGGAAGCCCTAACGAAATTGCTGAGAAAGGAAGAGGAAGATGGGAGAGCAGAACCTCTAACGGCATCGTTAGTGGTATTTGAAGACTGTGAGGAGAATCCAAGGCCTTGTTTGAATCTAGCAGCGCCTTCGCCTTTCCGCGTGAGCTCGTCATAATATGCAGCGGCCTTCTCCTCCTCCATTGATGAGTTTGGGAGATTAAAAAATTATTTGAATGAGCAGCATCTACAACCAATGCACAGGCACATACATAAGGATTTGAATCTTCGAGGGTTTCGATTTTACAGCAGAATTTTTTTCACAAATCACAAATCAGGGCGGAAGAGGGAAGAACGGAAGAGGGGGTCTGCTGTTGCAAGTTCGGATCTACTTGGATCCGGTTATGAGACAAAAACGCGTGGGTGTGACCCAGGGGCTAGGGGTGCAAGTCAGGACGGGTTAAGTCAACCCTAATGTAACCCGATGACTGGGTTGGGTTGGCATCGGTCCATCGAATTGGGTTAGATTGGGCTTTGGAGTGGCCCAAATTTTCAATTCTAATAAGTCTTAACAAGTTAACAGGTCGGTGAATATGGCAAGTTGGCAACTGAATAATCAGCTTAAAAATAAATGTTGTTGAATATGTCCTTTTGGTGGAAACAACCTTGTAAGAGCATTAACGATATGCTTGAATTCTACAAGGTATAATATATGACATCTGTTATGGGTTGAAATTGGACATCACTACCACTACTTCTAACACTAGTTTGTTTTATTAGCCTTGAAACTCACTTGCTATCATCACCTTCTCCAATCATAGCCATCAAAATGGCATTTTGTATGGACAATGAATAAGGCCCTGTTTTGCATATTTTTTTGCGTGGTCTATCTGTTATTTATAAGCCCGGTAGACTGTGATTCAGTCTTTTCCTATTTGGTTTGTAGCAGATCTAATCGTCAAAAGCTGATACATCGAAAAGATACGAAAAGCCTAAATCGAGTGATTTTTGAAAAATTCTAAATGAAGCTTTTATATTTTTTTCTATTCATTTTCGTACGAAAAGACACACCTTAACCAAACAGGCTTCAGGCTATTCATACATTAATGCAAAAGCTCAATACTTCTTTTGATTGTTAAAACTACCAAAAAAAGCTCCCTAAAAAGACTTACTAAATGACCCCTAAATCAAGATTTCAACTAGTTTGCTATTATAATCGACAGGGGTGGGAGATGGTTACCTTCACTATCTAATTAAAAAAAATTAAACAAAAGCCAATAACTTAATCTCACCAATCCAAAATGATATCTCAAGATTTCAGCCATCACAAATCCAAAAAATAAATAAAGAGAAATCTTTACCCCACCTTATAATTTATTATTTTCTAAAACCTCCATCTATAATACATTACCCCCTCCCCTTTATGTTCCCAACTTACAAATAAATAAAAATTTGTCATATGGGGGAATCTAAAAATTTCCAAAGAAGAATAAGTGAAGCCACTATTGCTCATACAACACGTGCCATTTCCCTCCTCACCCCCACATTTTTTCTCCACAATACAAAAATTGAGCCCTTCCAAAAACTAGCCCTTCAACAAAAATACATATTTCAATAATTTTGCATGTAATATTACTAAGATGATTGTTAGAGGTATTTGTTGAGTTAAAATGGGGTTATTTCAATAATTTTGTATATAAAATAATTTATAAAAAGGTAAAATGGGTATTTAGAAAAAACTGGTGCGCATCAATCTAACGTTTTCCGTCTGGGACAATGGTGAAAAGGAGGTTTTTGTTGAATTTCTCAAAAGTTCAGGGGATGCATTTGTTAAAACGAAATTATAGGGGAAGTTTTTATGATTGTCAGAAACTTCAAAGGAGGTTTTTCTATTTTACCCTTTTATTTATCCATACTTCCACCTATGATTCACCATCCCGACCCCTCAAATTTTGTTTTATCCCCCCATCTGTAGGAATGGCAACGGGGCGGGTTTGGGACGGGGCACCCCCTCCCCGTCCCTGCCCCGAAGTCACGATACCTTGTCCCGTACTCGCCCCGTCTTCGGTGGTGGGGTGGGTTCAGGGCGGAGCATCCATTCCCCATTGAGGACGGGGAATCCCCGAATTTTCCTTGCTTCAAAGCAATTACTTAAAAATTATCTATTTTATGGACAATTTATATATAAGATATAGGAATTTGGGGGTATTTTAAAACTAAATTATAATACTTTAGGGGTAATTCAAAAATAAAATTATGGGATCCTAGGATTTTAAAAATTTAGGGAAAACTTAGAGATATTTTAAATATCAATATTAAATATAGATATATTTTACTAATTTACCTTCAGGTTCGGGGAATTATATACAAAACCCGTCCCCACCCTATCCTTGTTTAGGGTCGGGGAAAACCCGCCCAGTTTGGGGCGGGGCCCCGGTTTTACGGGGGAAATTACCATCCCTACCCATTTGTCACTATTTCAAGGATACAAATTGTATTTATATTAAAGTTTATGGGGTGATTATAAAAAAAAAAGTTTATGGGGTGGATTGACCAATAAAAACCACTTTGCAAAAAATTAGAATAATTGTTTATTTTAAAAATAAGTGTTAAAAAGTAACTTTAAACCACCCTGTCCTTGTGAATTGTCTTCTCCAATTGTACGTGAAGACCTTTCATCAGGCAACCTACCAATCTCGCCCAACAGATAACTCGCAAAATTTTTCAATTTTCTGTTCATCGTAATCAATGTGAAGAAGGCAAAAATCTCATCTTTGGCTAGTGGTGATGGTGATATATATGGAAGATACGTTTCCATAGAGGATTTCAAAATCAGCACAATGGTTGACATGTTTATCGGCATCATCATTCTATAAATTGTGTTTAACTAAAACCCCATCTTTAGGTGGGTAAGACAATCCAAGCTGATCGACAGACAAATAGCAGAGCATCGCTTGATGATGAAGATCTCGCCACTTGATGGAGAAGAATAGGCGACACGAGATATTCTAAGTAGTTACTAGTACAAGAAGAGCGATTTTGATATTAGAGAGGTTGATACCGAGATTTGTGATGAAGACGACGATGACACAACGAGAACGAGCTATTCAAGTTCTGATCTTTCGAACTCGATAACTTAGTAGTGATTGGTATAGATAGAGCTGCCACCGTATGAAATAACCCATCTCGATATATGCCAATCATGCCATTGCTATTGGCTTGATTTTGTAGTTGTTCAACGGTATATATATTATAAAAAATGAAAGAAATATTGTCATCGTTTTTGAATTTTAATAGTTTTGGGGTTTATTTTACATCAGAGAATAAGTAAGTGCTTACCTTTCTTTGGTTTTTGTGCGAACCCTTCTTTTATTCTGGGTTAATTTTTTATAATAATTTAATCAACTATATGAATCAAATATTGTCATCCTTCTTTTTTTGGTTAATTTTCTTTAATTTATTATTATTGTTGTTGCTAATATAATTATTAGTACAAGAAATTATTTTTCCAGTTATTTATTGTATTTTCTTAAATAAAATAATAATTTAATAATTAATGCCATGTGGGCCCATATGTGTTGTGAGGGTTAGAATTGTCATTTTTTATCAAAAATATTTCAATATAATATTCATGAAATAACTTATACATGCATTTGTTAAGTTAGGATTATAATTGTTATTTCCACAGTTAAGTGTAATGTTTTAAAAAATAACCTGGAAACAGAATCATTCTGGCCATCGGTTTCCAGGTCGATGGTCTGACCCTTTGGTTCGAATGGATAGCCTATTTTGACAAACAAATTAAAAAATAACTAAAAATAAAAAATGGTCGAAATCCATTGAACGGGTGGACAGTTTAACCGTTCGAGTCAATGGGTTGTTGACTTTTTTAACGATTTTATGGCCAAAATCAGGTTTGGGGTAAAATGGAACTCGTTGCCTGGACAGTTCTCGGGCCGAACAGTTCGGCCGTTTGAATCAACGGTGGTTCGAAAACCTTGGTTAAGTGGCTCCCCAAACGGTATAAACCAAATAAGTGTAGTGATTTGAAAAATTACCCCTAAATGCTAATAATTATTTAAACAAAAAAATTTGATGAATAATTAACTTATTTGATTTTTTTTGTAGTAAAACCTTAATAATCAGAGCAAAAAACAAAATCATTCAGGACAAGCTCTTGAATTATTAATAATAGTTAGGCTTCAGCCAGGACAAAGCCCATCCAAACAGCTCTTACTGCCTTACATTAAGAATATCTCTATACTGATATGCTTTATTTTATAGAGAAATATTTTCAATATGCAAGATTGGAAAAAGCTGTTAGATCGGTGTGGGCACAGATTTGCCCTCATGAAAGCCGATCTCCTATAAGCTGGCATTCAAATTCGGTACAATCGGTGATTATAATTAATGGGATGGCTTCATGGCCGTGTATGAGATGTGAGATCGTGTGATAATGATGATTAAGAGCTTTTCATCACCCAATACATCATCACTCTATGGAAATTATGGTCAATGCGCAATCAACTTATTTTTGGATCCATTGCACGTTATCCATGATATCTCATGCTTTGTGTCTTAATGGTTAATAATATTTTTCAAAGGGGCACAAGTGGTCTATTAAGTTGTTCTTCGTGCTACTATATTGACCAGGTTGTACATATATATTATTGTGGTTGATGATCTTGGTGGTAGCTTCATGAAAAGCCGGTTCAAATCATGGTCGTGGTTCCATATGCCCATGCTGTGGGAGATTCTTAGCTAATGATTTTTTTAGCATAAGTTGATTTTATTTATTTATTTTTTTCATATTAGTCGTACTCTGAATGTAATTCCTCTCCTCTCGGGTGGAAGGTAATTCCTCCTGATGTATTTTTAATAGAGTATTTCTTTTTTATGAAGGTTTAAAATATATTTCATTTATTTAAGATATTGATACAAAGATATGCCAATAAGATCAAATAAAATTTAGAAACAATTTTCAAGAAGAACAAAATAAAGAGATGGATGAAGAAGAACCAAAAAAACTACTACAATTAAATAAGGTGAATTAAATCACCAACAGAAGTAGATAAGTACATATAAGAGGTGTTTAACAAAGACGAAAACTGACAGTGGAAATTACAAAGCCAAACATCCATGAAACTATAACTTCCAACCAATCCAAACCACAAAAGACAGCATGGCCAAGAATTGTGGCTGTCATCCAACACACCGGAGAACTGTCAATTCTGAAGTGCCATCAAATACATTGGAAAATTGTAACGTCCAACCACAATGTCAAAAAACTAAAACTGCCAATCATAATGCCGGAGAACTATAATTACCATCCAGGACACCATAGAACTGTAACTACCATCCAAATCGCTGAAAACAGCAATAAGTGAAGCAATTTCCACTGGCGGATAAAGCAGAAAGGATTTTA